TTATTTTAAAATAATGAAACACTCATCAGGGCTCTGCATTACATCGAAGGAAAAAACAAAACAATATCATAATAAAATGCCAAGAACGCTACGCAACATAATAAAATTATAACTAATTTGAAACTAATAATACTAATACTACACAAGAACTTTCGAGAAATACAATAAACTAACAATTAATAAATGAGAAGTAGGTATAATTATATCACTTATTTGTCTTTCTTTCAAAATATGAATGATGTGTGCCAAGCAAGTTAAAAGACTATTTACGTTAAAAATTCAATATCGCTTATCTATCTTGTAATTATAACGACGACTCAATTTCATCAAAACTTACAATTGATGATGCTGTTGGACAAGTTAGTTGAGGTATTTCATGGAGAACAGTACGTTTATCTGTAATACATATGAAAATATCTGAGCCAAATATCATTAAGATAAGTAATCGTATCTTTTTGTTGTACTGATATTTACAAACATAAGACATAATTGTACTTGACAAACTTAATTAATATCATTATCTTCTATTTCCAGTTGTTTAGAGATTTCATCATCATTGATACGTTTACCATTGAAAACGAGTCTTAATGTTGCTACGCCAAAGCCTTGTCGTTTAGCATATACAACAATCTATACCAAGTACGAACCTTTATTTGTCGATAAAGGTACGAATATTAATATTTTATATGTATTTTCGCTTTCTTCATATTATTTCGAATGTACAATAATACAAATAATAATATTTACGATCTTGTGCTGGAATAAGCATATTACCGATATACTTGTCAATCGATTAGTTTTCTTCTGCACAAATCGAGTATTAATACCGTTATCTCGTCGTTTTAATATATTTGTATGTGTACATGATGGTGAACTTTTTGCTGAATAATATTGTTCACTTAAATGTTCACCTGATTGAGAATGTTTAATTGGGGGGTATAGAATTAATAAATACATTACACTGCCATCAACATTAGCAGGTAATGGACAACTTAATTCATTTAATAAACTTACTATGACATTAAAATTATTCAAATTTTAGTTGACGAATAATTTCCAACATTAAATGTTTAGCAATAATTTTTCAGTGTACTGAATAACCCAACATTTAATTAACGGATAATTCACGCTTCTAATGTTTCATATTCTAATTTAAATTTTTATAATATAATATAATACAATATTAATTTTCAAATAATTTTTACATTGGAATAAAATTATTAATGATTCAATTCTTTCAATAAATTCTATTTGATGGACTAT